CCGCCCGGCGGCCAGAGCCCCGGGGGGAGGGCGGCCGGAGCCCTGGGGGGAGGGCGGCGAGCCCCGGCTGGGGCTCAGCTCTCCCCCCCGCGGCCAGAGCGCCGCGCCGCCGCCCCCCTCCAGGTGCCGCCCCAAGCACCAGCTTGGGTGCTTGGTGCCTGGGGCCGGCCCTGTTCGGATGCATGTTGTTATTTTAAAAAACAGCGTGGTTAAGCCTTCCTCCCCCCAGCTTCCCCTCTCAGGGAATTCGGACAACTGAATGGGCTGGAATAGCTGGGCCCATTGGAGGTGTGCTGGGGGGCCGGTGGGGGGGGGAGTCCATGGCTGGAATTGCAGGGGAGAGAGGGTTGCAGGTCAGGACTGAAGTGCATCAGCAGAGTGGGGTGGGGCGATCCAAGGACTGGATTATAAAAATCATACTTCAGATACACTGGCAGGGCTTGCAGGAGGGGGAGCTGTTCTAAACAGTGTTAGACAATTTTTGTTCTCGTTCCTGTGGCAGAATGAATTTGACTCAAAAGCTCCGGAAGAATTAATTCCCTTTCAAGGCATTATGTGTTGTAATAGAAATCAATATATTTGAAAATGCAGAAAAAAAATCCAAAAACATTTAATAAATTTCAGTTGGTATTCTATTGTTTAACAGTGCGATTAATCTTTTTAATGGCGATAAATTTTTTGAGTTAAGTGCGTGAGTTAACTATGATTAATCGACAGCCCTACTATTTAACTTTGAGATCCTTCCAGGTGAAAGATAAATTAGAGGGGTGAAATCCTGGCTGTACTGGAGTCCGTGGGAGTTTTGCCCTAGTTTGCCCCCTGGAGCAGTCTGTGGGAGGGGGCACAAGCCATAAACATTTGGATCTGGATTCTACAGCTCTGGATCTGGGTGCCACCCTATATTCTCAGAGCCAGAGTTTTGGCTTAGGGCACGGGGCTTGGCGTTGGAAGACATGGACTCTATTCCCAACTCTTGGTCTACCCTGAGAGTGGAACTCACAGCTAGCTGGGGAGACGGAATAGCCCTAACTGAACTTGCCATGCTGCAGATTTCTACCGATTGGGAGTCACTCTTGTTTCTCCATTCAAAGGGAAAAGGCTTATTTGCCACCAGGAATATCCATAAAGGGGAAACGATCTTCGTGGAGAAGCCTGTGGTGTCATCCCAGTTCCTCTGGAACGCGCTGTACAGATATAAAGGTGAGAGAAGAGTCGTTGGTTTTAAGACCGGGGGGACCCTTAGTTCACCTACTCTGATGTCCTGCATAACAAAGCCCTGAGAAAGAAGCAGTGACCTTGATGTGTTCGTGCCCCAGAAAATGACACTGGCCCAAGGTCTGAGACTTGCTGTATTCAGTCTGTGGCCTATGCGGAACAAAACGCTGGTGCTCAAAAGACCAGTGACAGTCTAAAGACTGATGTCTTTCAAACCACCAGTGCTAGGAATAAATGCTTGCTACCCTGGGAAAGCTGTGCCAACCCCACGTCAGTGATATAAACCACTTATCTCTAAATATGGTGCTTCAGGAAATATCTTCTGCAAAAATCATGTTGTTATTGAAGTAAGGGGGTGGGGACGAAGCAAGATGATAATCAGAAGCACGTGGTTTTAAGGTCGGATACCTCGTGGCCTTCCAGGGGTTAGAACCACTGTGCTGGACAAAGAATGTTTTCAAGCTCTCGTCCAGGACCTGTGATCTGAAGGGAGAAAAATTCCGATCCCAGGGAATGTAGTGTGATTTGCAAGTAGGGTGTAATCAGGGCAAAAGGGAGGTGGGAGCTGCACAGAAGCTTTATAATATCTAGCGATCATTCCTTGAACCCTGTGGCAGCACGCTTTGGCTTCACTGGGCACTGTAGCTTTTATACCCTCAATCCCTAAACACGTAACAGTGTTTTCAGGTATCTAAAAGGGTGTCATAAGGAGGAGGGAGAAAACTTGTTCACCTTAGCCTCTAAGGATAGAACAAGAAGCAATTAAACTGCAGCAAGGGAGGTTTAGGTTGGACATTAGGAAAAAGTTCCTAACTGTCAGGGTGGTTAAACACTGGAATAAATTGCCTAGGGAGGTTATGGAATCTCCATCTCTGGAGATATTTAAGAGTAGGTTAGATAAATGTCTATCAGGGATGGTCTAGACAGTATTTGGTCCTGCCATGAGGGCAGAGGACTGGACTCGATGACCTCTCGAGGTCCCTTCCAGTCCTAGAATCTATGAATCTATGATGACAGATGGGGAGAGAAACCAAGAAAGAGCTTCAGGACAGGGAGAAAAGGTTTCCAGCTGAGATCTGAAGTGGCATGAAGAATCAGTGAGGTAGGGAGATACATGGTGGCCATTTCGGATGGCAGGAGCTGTGTAGCAGAAGGGTTTATCATTGCAGATCAGTTTGGTGGCAAAGGGAGTTAAAGAAGGCGGGAAGTGGTGCAGATAACGAGGGCTGTGTTTCTACAGACGGTGTTGGGCCTGTGATGTTTTCAGAGGGGTGGTTTTGAGTGGGATAGTGAACCAGATTCTCAGCAACTGTAAACCAGTGTTGCGCCACTGAAGTTAATGGACCTACACTAAAACACCAGCCGAGGTTCTGGCCCACTGCATGCAAACGCATCTGTTCTTTTAGAAGGAGGTTCTCTCAATCTCTGCCGTCTGGCTTGTTTCTTCTTCCCCAGCCTGCGACCACTGCCTGCGGGCCTTGGAGACGGCAGAGGAGAACGCGCAGAGGCTTCTGGGGAAAAGCTGTCGGATCCTGCCTCACCCAGAGCAGTGCAGCATCCGGAAGGATTTGCATCAGCACTGCCCCCATTGCCAGGTACCAGGCTGCTGGGGAGAGCTGGGAGTTGCCATCGCTGTGGCCTTGTGTTGATCGATTGGGGTGGGGCTTGATCTGCAAGGCGGCCACGTCCCTTTCAGATCTGCCATTGCTGCTGCTGCTGCCCTGGTGTTGGAGCGCTCTCATCGGGAAGGTTGAATTGGTTTCCTCGCTATTGATGGAGAGAGCATCTGACTGGGCAGGACCACCTGGGTCACCTAGGCCAGTTCTTCCCACTCTGCAGCCTGGTCTTACACAATGGGGGTGCAGGGGAGAATTTCCATATCCTGGTGCTCACAGGGGCAGCTGTGTCTGAGGAGAGGTTCACCCAGGGGGAAGGCACATGCCTTTGCTACCCCCTGCTTCCTTGCAATAGATAGGGGCCAGGACTCTGTACTAAGGGGAGGTGGGCTGGGTAGGACTGCTCCCAGGAGCCCCCTCCTCCCTACCACAGTGCTCTCCCTAGGACACTACGAAAATGGCTGACCTTGAAGGGTTGGTCACTTTCCTAAGGGCTAAGTTCCTAAGTTACTCTTCTGTCGGCTGACGTGTGTTGCTGTCTCTGTTGCTGTCCAGGTTGCGTATTGCAGTGCTGAATGCAGGCAATCTGCCTTTGAGCAATACCACCAGGTGCTGTGCCTGGGCCCCTCCCGAGAGGACCCCAAACATCCCCTCAACAAACTGCAGGACGCCTGGAGGTAGGTGCACTAGATGTTTGTAGGACCAGAGCTACCTACTGAATAGACTGGCTCTGGCCCATTCGGAAGCAGAGACGGGGACTCACCCTGTGTCCAGCTGAAGGTGGTTTGGAGCAGGGTCAGTTACTGCTCTGTCTCTGCAGAGGCACCCACAGCTCCACTGTTCCAGCCTATAACCATGTAAACCATCCAGGGCCACCTACGCTAGGCAGTTGTCACTGTGCTGCATCCCACGGCCACTCAGAACTTCACGGCATCCGTGGGAACAGAGCGTGGATCCTCCTGCTCCTGAAGCACAAGCCTCCGTCGCTTGAGCTAAGAGAGAATCTCCATTAGCCATATAGAGGCTGTGACATCCAGCTGAGCAATTCTGATTCCATCCAGTAGAGGGCAATAGAGCATGTATACACTAGTCAGTTGATTACAGTCGTTTGCAGTTCTGTGGCGCCATCTGTGGATCTCAAAGCACTTCACAGACATTATTGAATTAAACCTCCCAACATCCCTGAGAGAGAGAAATTATTATCCCCGCTTGCAGATGAGGAAACTGAG